TCTTTTCAACCCCGAATATAAAGAATATGGTACAAAAGCTTTAGTTGAATGCATTTATCAGAATTTAGATATTCAACCTGAAGAAGAACCTGATTTGGTAACATGTCAAAATAGTATAAAATACTTTGCAAAAGAAATGTATGATAAATATTCATTCTTAGATAATGTTGAAAATCCTCAAACGTCTACAAATCAAGTAGGTGCTCATGGACGAGTGAAACATAAACTTGGTCTTGACTCTTCTAATAAATGTGAATTTGTTAAATATCTTGAACAGGGTACAGATGATATTACAAACGATAATGGTATACCGGAACTATTGAACTGGTGGAGAAATCGTGGAGCTCAATATCCAAAACTTAGTAGGATGGTGAAGGATGTGCTTGCAATTCAAGGATCATCAGTAGCTTCGGAGGCAGCTTTCAGCGCGGCAAGATTTCAAATTGGAGACCACAGATATTCGTTAGCAGAAGATAGCCTGGAGATATCAGTGTTATTTAGAGACTGGATAAATGCTGAGCGTAGAAATCAAGGACTTCCAAAGTTAGATAGTCAATTTGAACTTTTCATAGATTCAGCTATTGGATGTGGTAGTGATGATGGCATCGAAATTCAAGATCGTCAACGAGCTTTACCAAGACCAGAAGTTGATCACAATCAATCCCTAGCTGAGTTAGAAAGAGGATTTACGGGACTATACAACTATTAGTATTACATTCGAGACATAGTTGAAACAGAACCCTTCCTAGAAGGTGGCTGCGTAAGCTATGTACTCTACTAATAGTTGTAAATTGAAATTGTAATTTGTTACAAATTTAAATAAATTAAATTGATATTTTTTAATTTTTGTAATTTAATTTACTTTTTTAAAATTACAAATTTTATTTATTTAATATTTACAAGATACAAGTTATAAATATAACTTATAAAATAAATATTAATAAATATAAGTAATAACTTATAAAGTATAAACTTCAAAAGATTTAAATTTTGAAAACTTTATTAGATTACTTGCAAACTTAACAATAATAAAAAAAATTAATAAAATATCTTTAAAATAAACTTAAGTTAAAAATTATAGTATAAATTTAAAAACTATTAATTTATACTTAAAAAATAAAAAAATTATATTTTCGTAATTTAAAAAATATCGTCCCGTTAATCCCGTCCCGTTCCATCCCGGTCCATTCCGGTTCATTCCGGTTCCGTCCCGGTATATAGTGGAACGGGACGGAACCGATGAACCATCCCGGTAATTCCGGTCCGGTTCATCCCGGTACCGGTCAAAATTCCGGTCAACGGATTCCGGTCCGGTCCGGTACCGGTTCATTCTGGTCCGGTGACCCGGTTCCGGTCCGTTGACCAGTCTTAGGTCCAGATGACGAAAAGCTAAGTAGAAGAGTCCATAATACAATCCGATACAAGTGCGAGGATCCACCAGACTATTCTGCCTAATTAAACTATACCTTATTGATTAATTATTTAGTATAGTTTGTATGTAATTTTCCCTTAATTAGCCTTTTAACTTGTACTTATACTATTAAATGGGAGGGTTGAGTTGATATTAGAAATATCAAAATGGTTAAAATAGAAATGGGTTGGGTTATGACCCACCCAAATAAGTTAGGCTCAAATGGGATAAAAATCGAGTTGGTTTATGACTTGCTTAATCTCAATAATTTTAATATTTTGCTATATATCTTTTGTAATTACAATTTGAATTTGAATTTAAGAAAATAATTTTTTTTTAACAAATGTATAGATAAATAAGGACTCAGAGAAACAACTGAAAGTGCGCAACTTCACTTGAACTTATATTATAATTTTCTTTCATCTTTCATAAAAAGCTTTGTAGTGAACAATTGAAAAAGAAAAGTAGAACGAAAGATATTGACGGTATGTTATACAAGTAGAGGTCGTGTCAAGCTAGAAACTTTGATTTGCATATCATAATGGATTTAAGATCAAACTCACTATACAATCACAGTTCTCTTCAAACTCTAAAGAAAACCGTGAAACTCAAGGAGAATGGAAATAGTCACCTCATCAGTGTTTTGAACCAGTATAAAATATTTCGTGTCAATTTATATTCTATATTTATAGTGTAATACTAACTTGTAGTCAAATCTAATAATCATATATTATTATAAGTGGGAAGCTCCAAAGTAGAAAAATTGAATTACAATTTTACCCTTATGCTAAATTCAAATGTTATTAAATAAATAATTAATTAAATAGTGAATAGTTTCTATAATATTTTAATTTAATTGGTATACATGTGAGTAAATTAAATAGAACAAAAATTAAAAATAAGAGTTATCCCTTTGAATAGATACATGTATGTGTTTCACCTTCCAAATTAATTTATATTTTTAATTAATATTTGTCTTTAATTTGTAATAATACTTGACCTTTAACTTTGTAAGTGAATCTTCATATTCCAAAACTATATTTTTTCCCTATAAATACAAATCTTTCTATGAAAATTTTTTAATAGTATTTTCATAGAAAGATTTATACGTGATACAATTTTTGTGTGTGGAAGACTAGAGAAGCTTTAATCAAGTGAAGAAAATTTCAAGGCAAAGAGGATTTCTGTCAAGATTACAAGGCGTAATGTGATTATAGGGATGAATAACACTTCAATTACTAGAATATCGGAGTTTGATGTATTTGTTTTTGTAATTTGCCGAGATTAGAACTATGATAAGACCCCTTCATTTATGTAGTTGAATGCCGCTTTCGTTAACTTGTCTTCCAAAACTTTTAACTTTTTTTTATGGTCAAAGGTTGAATGTTTTATTACTATAGCTTTTTTTCAATTTGCATTATCAATAAAAAATAGGGAAAGGAATGTCTTAAAAATAGAGAAAGGAATGTCTTCAATTTACATTTTCGTTGGTAGCCTTATGCTAAACTTGCTCCCATATTTGATTTTTTTTTGTATTTGTAATTTTATTTTAAGAATATATTTGATTGAATGGTGTATTTTCGTATGATTTTTTTAATACTTAGTCATAATGATTTTCCATTACATATTTAGTATATTTGAATTCTTTTATATATTTTATTCTTAGATTACAGTTTTGTTTACATAGTACATTTAAATTTTATAAATTGTTTAATAAATCAAATATTAATATTAAATATTAAATAGTAAATCATCATATTAGTATACATAACTTACCATCAACTTGTAAATGTATGTAACTCTCACTAATTATATTCATTATGTTCATTACTCTCATTTCTCATCAATAATCTCAAATGGATTAATATTTATTTATGACAACTCTTTGTATTTCTCAATGCTATCCAATAATAAATAGTGACACATCACACAATAATATATAAACTTAAACCAATTGAAAAAAATTTGAGAAAATCTCTATGCTCTCTTTTCTCGTCTCTTTTTATTTATTTAGTTTAACATTTATGTTTCTTGCTTGTTGTTATTGTACAACATACTTTCTATTGTTGTGTTACTATTATTGATAATTTACTATGGCCTGTTGCTTTGTATACATTAACCTATCATGTTGTATTTTAATATCTTCATTGGATTATTGAATTTGTGTGATAGTTATTTTTTACTTTATGCACTTTTAGTCAATTTTATAATTAAAGATATAATATTTTTACTAGGAATATATATGTAATTTCTATCGAAACAATGATAAATTTTAGGATACAAAATTTATATGAAGTATCTTGGGATAAACGTGCAACGCACGTTCCAAAATCTAGTCTATATATAAAGCCGAGTAAAGGACTTTTTAATACACCCCTCTTAACTTTCTTGTTTAACTTGTTCTTTAAATTTAAACTGTGCTGCAAGATTGGTTCACCATACACAAATTTTGAAGAATTTGTCGATCATATTCTATATAGTGCTCCTAAATGAAGATATTTAGTATTAATTAATTCAGAGAAATCATTAATAAGAGGATATTTGAACCATTTGCAATAGATTGATGACATTCTTGATTCAATAGGGGAAAGAAAGACATTATTAACTATTTCTAATATGTTAAGAATATTTTTGACCCAATAAATCGAAGGAGGGGAAAGTTTTGATCCAATAGGTTGAAGGGGAAAAAATTTGATCGAATAGGCAAAAGTGGGAAATTTCTGAACCATTTTTAATACGTAAAGGACTTCTATTTTAACCTTTTTCTCATAAATAAAAATGTACGATGTAGAACTTGTTTGTATCCTTAATAGAAACAGAAAGTGCATAATATTTTCATTTATTTTTTTGGTTTTTCATTCGGTGTTCGATATTTATATTGTAGTTCCGACTAAATTTGGATTGTACATTACAAGGCCATTCTGGAGGTGATGCTCCAACAAGATTTTGTCCATACCCAAGATTCAAAAACCAAGACCTCTAGTCAAAAGTGAAACATTCCCACACCTGCATCACAAGCCATGATGGTACAAAACATTTTACTCCTTCAGTTCGGTATTGTTTGTCATGATTTCAATTTTCAGAGTCAAACTATAAAAACTTTGACCAACATTTTAAGATGTATTTTTTTACCATATTAATATGCAAGAAATTGCAATTTATAGTACTTTTCATATATAGTTTTAGGATATTCAATTTTTTGGTTTAAAATATCGAATTAATGTAATCTAATTTAACTTCAAAATAAATTGACTTTTATAAAACGTAACATGACAAACAATACCGGACGAAGAGAGTAATTGATACTCAACGGTTTGGCCTTGGGGGAATACCTTAGTGGCCTATATGCTAAAATTCGTACTGCAGTTTGGTCCAAATGTGTAGATATAATGTTCTCAAAATTCCTTTCACATATCACGCTACCAATCTGCAAAGCATTCATGATTCATCCAACTACATGATCAAATATTTACCTGTTTAAACAGGGGAAATTCATAAATCTCTTGTTCTAACAGAGAAGCTACAATGTTTGAATACAACTAACAACGTAACATGATACACATTCTCATCCAGGTAAACATCAAATGAGTTATAAATCTGCGAATGCATGGTAAGTTTTTGAGTCCATGGCAATAAGTCTTACAGCAGCTACTAATGCAGCAACAGCTAGGCAACTAAAAAAGACAATGTTGAACCAGTGCCAGCTTTTTTGTAAAGACGAAATTTGCTTCCTCATAGCAACAATGTACATGTGATTCGGAAGAATAAATGTGAGTGGAATTGTACTGATAGCGCCGGTGAAGCTCATGAAATCTCCAAGAAAAGGTAACAGAGCAGAGAGAAAAATGGTGATCGCTAGATAACCACCTCTAACTACTGTTCTGAATGACAGGTTCCGAAAAGCCAGTACACTTCCACTTATTCTATATTTAGTATCCAAATACTCGTATGTTGGACTTGCAAATATCTGCGATGAACAACACCACCAAAATATTAGACATATGTATCAACTATACGTCAAGAAAGGTAAGTGCTTAATTTTTTCGATAAGGAATGGGCACACTTCTTGGGGCAAATGGAGGGTACACTACTCGGGGTATGTCATAAGCCAAACAGGTGTCTGCGATATTTCCTTCTTCTCTGATCGAGTTGGTGTCATTTATAAAAGGCGAAATTTGTGAGTTCCTTACGTGCAACGTAATGATGGATTGGAAGAAAGCAGCAATGTTGGCTAATCCCCTCAGCCAAACAGGGCCGCTGACATTGTAGAGCAAATAAGATGATGATTTGGATCCATACGCCCAATACCCCATGTAAGTAACAGCATGCACTGGCACAGCTCCTATAGTAAACTGAAAATATAGGGCTTTCAACATGTTGTCAACAACCGGTGCTCTAACAGTAGCCTGTCATATAATTGAATTTAACAATATTAATGCGAGGATCATCATCATATGAAATTGATCAACAAATAAGTGTAGATACAAGAGCTGGAAGATCTTCATTGCATTGGACAACAACACAAGAGGTCATAGTTCAAATTTCCTTTGATCATTTTAGTAAGTCCTATCCATCGCAGAAATTTATCAGTAAATCGTAGCTCCATAAAAGTTCACGAATAAATTTCCAGCGTAAATACCTGGATCTCTGGGATCATTCCTGTGTTGTATACAAAAACAAGACTTGCAGCCGCACCAATAGTTGTAAAAGTTCTACTAGAGGAGGATCCTGGAATGCTATAATCCCTAGGAGGAGCATTAATACCTGCAATTTCACGTCGAGAGAGGGATACATACTTATATAATTAATTAAGTAAATAAAAATATACTCTTATCTCTAACAAGTTAAGTTTTTAGAAGAGAAGGTCACACTCGGTTAAATCAATCATGCATACCATCTTTAAGACACAAAGCAAAGGCTATTGAGAAATACACTATACTGAGGAATGTGGAAACTGCCATCCAAACACCTAGAGCTGACAAATGGGGCACAGAAACAGCGAAAAACACGCATGCTAATCCAGCGATTATGATGAAGTATGGAAGCTTCATTTCATGATCCTCCCTAAAGAGAAGATAGAAAGCCTGTCATTCATAAAAAAATGTTTCAGATTCATTTATATGAAGTTTGCTTTCACATTAATTAAAAAGGCTAACACTACTTTATGCTTATTAACTCATTATCGAAGGTTGTGAGTTTGAGTCACCAAAGGAACAACACGGGTGGAGCGTTTCATTACCCTACCTTTAAGGCTTGTCCACCCAAAATGATGAATCCAATATTTATCAAGAAAAGATTTGCATACTGTAATCCCCAAACAATGGCATAAGCTCTGTATCCTGCATCAACCAATAAAAGTTTGAACTACAACAACTCCAAATCTTGAGATGAAAGTGACTACGACTCGTGGACTCGTCAATCTGTTTTCTTACCATACATAAATCCTGCAAGATCTCTATATCTGATATGCCTTTTTTCTCCATATTGATGGATCTTTGCCATAAGAGTACTGGCATATAATGATATGATTGTAGATAAAACCATACCAGTAACACCACCAATCCAACCCAGAGGAACCATGATTGTGCCAGCATATCCTAGTGCATAAGCACAATTCACAGTAGTCGTGAGAACAAGTCCCACCTGAAACCATGAATCTACATTTTGGAAAACATAAAAACACAATTATTACTCTTGTCCTTGTAAAGTGCTAAAATTTGTATTCAATGTATATAAGAACAATAGTTATAACAAGCAACCGAGGTTGTGGAGGATACAACTATTTACTTCAACAAAATAGTTATAACTAAAATTCGGCAAAGCTTCCAACTCTCTCAACAATTCAAAAGCTAGCTCAAAAGGAGGAGGATTGCACAAGCCTTATGACTTAATAATATGTCCTTTAACTAGACCTCATTTTAAATTTATACCTTCCAATTTTGTGTGCACTTAAATTTGAATAAACTTGAACAATTGACACACATGTCCTACGTGACATCCTATACGACAATTTTTACATTTTACGCGTATCCTATGTGTATTATGTCACATAGGACCATGTGTAGCTATTTATTTAACTTTATAAATGTTTAAGTGAATACTTGTGCACATGGATATAAATATAAGATGAGACTAAGTTAAATGACATATTTATATATTAAACCTTCGGAAAACATTGAACTGATTCGGATGTGCGAGAGCAACTGCATTTCGCAGTTGAAGTGCAACACGCACTTCTATCATAGTCTCAAATCAGTGGAAAACATTGAACATGTGAACCTCGAATATGAAGATGATATATGCACCAATATTATCTTAATTTAAGCATTACTGAAACCTCTAATGAAGATTAACAAATAATATCGTATATAATTAGTCACTAATGATTTGAATAATAATGAGAATATATAGATTACATATGAGCTCTAAGCTAATAGTTTAATTTCTCAAAATATATATACATAATTTTTTTTTAAAGTTAAAAATGCACGTTCAAATCGATCAAAGAAATTGCGTGTTCAAACTTGTGGGCTGAAGAGAAAATGTTGCTCAACAAGTGGAAGGTGGGCTCCATTTTTATCTTCAACTTGAAAGAGACAAAAAAAACCCACTAGTTTACTAATTATTTGCTTTCACCATTTTCCCCCCTATATTTCCTTACAGTTTCATCCCCTTTATACTATTCCTTCACAAGTTCACCCATAAACCCTCTCCATGGTTTAATCCAAATTTCAAATGTTAAAAAATTATAATTACAACAAACCTATGCAATTAAAAAGGAAAACAAAAGAGTTCCCTCAATTCTCTCTTGACTTCTCTATGTTCCGATGGTCGATAAAGTTATACTCTATTGGTTTTATATTAAATGAACATTTTTTATTTTATATGATAATTAAGAAACTATTAATAGATGATCAATTTTATCATTTTGCCATTTATTCATATTAATTAGCCTCTCAAGATTTTAAAAAAAATTGAACTTCCAAATGCCATATTAATTGTAGTGGTAAAATGGATATTTTTTTAATTAATTATTTCTTAATTTAGTAAGTGATCAAGTAATATGAGACAAATGTTTTTAGTAAGAAGCCCATTTATTATGAGATGGAGGGATAGACTATAAATAGTTGTCTCATATTATTTGATGGCATAATACATAATTGTATCATTTAACTTGGCTTCGAATCACATTTATGCCCTTTAACCAAACTTTTGGTATGCACAAGTAACCACTTAAACTTGTATAAAGTAAAACAAATAAACAAACGTGTCCTACATGTAATTTTTTGTCTTACGTGATGTCCTACGTGTATTGTGTCATGTAGGACTCATGTGTTTATTTACTTAAAAATTGAATAGTTAAAGTGCATGTTTGTACATTATAAAAGTTAGAGGTCAAAGTTTATATTTGACGCCAAATTTTAGGATCCAATATATGTATTATGTTTTATTTGATTACTTACTAAATTAAGATAAAATTAATTGTATTTTTCTTATTTTACCCCTACAATTAATATGACATCTGGAAGTGAATAATTCTCAATACAAGCTATTCCTATACTTTATGTATGTTTTTCTAACTTATTTTATGTGCATTGCTATGAACAAATGAAAAAATAGTAAAATTAATCAATTTATTTATGTTTTTTTAATCAATGTGCGAAATAGAAATTGCAAATATATATTGTATTGTTTTAAAATATTTATTAAATAAAAATATTTAATTATAAACTCAATTATTATTATATATTTATTTGAAATTGTTGTAAAAATACCTGAATTTTTAAATCTTAAATCGGCATAGTTAACACAAAAAATACTTAACTAGAAGAAAGAAGTGAAACTATATAAATGATTAGAAGCTAACAAGGGACAGAGAGAGAGAGAGAGGAGAAACCTTGGCCAATCTGATGAAGAGTTTCAACTTCAAAAGAGGGATTGGAAATAACATGAGACATCACCTCCTTCTCTTCTCCCATAAATTTAAATTTCTTGCACAAATATTTGGATAAATTAAAACAAATTGATGGAGCTACTAAATCCTTCAACTGATGTCCTCTATTATATAAATAATATAAATAATGGACTTAGCTCTATATAGGTATTGTTGCACGTGACAATAGGAAAGGAATACAGACCAATTACTAAATATGTGATGCAATGCAATGGTTTGGGCTCCCTTATCACTCTACTTTTTATAGTGTTATTTTAAAAAAAATACAAAACATAGTGATATTATATATTTTTATAGAAGATGTATAAATATAGGCATAATACATAAATGTACCATTTAACTTGACTTCAAATTATATTTATGTCCTTCACCTTTTGATGTGCACAAATCAATCGATACTTAAACTTTTATAAAGTTGAACAAATAGACACACATGTCCTACATGTCATTTTTATCCTATTTGGTATCCAACGTGTATTTTGTGCCATGTAAGACTCATACGTTTATTTATTTAAAAGTTGGATAGTTAAAGTGTCTGTTTGTGCATTACTAATGTTGAATATTAAAATTAAAATTTAAAATTAAATTTATAACCTAATATATTTATTGTGCTTAAAATATATGTATTTGTATATCTAAAAACTCTAGCAATAGAGACAACAACAAATGTCTGACATTTATAATTATGTTTTCTTTCCCTACTGACTCAGCCAAGTTTGATTCAATGGTTGTGGTTTCACTAGATAGTAGGAATCTTCTTAATCCTTTCATACATGTCTTTGAGCAAAATTCACATTGTGTAGATATCCATTGGGACCACTATAATGCTTAATTTTAATTTAATATAGTAGAATATCCCTTGTTCGAACTTGTTTTAAATTTATTATTTGACTATTTTTGAAGGAACCGTTCTCAGTCTATCTCTCAACTAGCATATGGTGGACCATAAACAACTTGAGCAATCCACCAACGGGTCTGAGACTAGGACCCCTATGCCTAGCTCTCAATGTAAATCTATTTCCAGGGATTAAAGATCTATTTTGATGAATTCCCTCATCTATATTGTTTCATCGATCGATCAAAGGTTGTTCCCTTTGAAGGCCAGATACAATTATGAGTATGAGTGTACACCATTAAGTAATCTGAATTTTCAAAGGCCAGCACTAGACACTATGCGACATGTGGTGCTCTTTCCATGTTGGATCCTCCCTCATGTTGAACCATTTTTAGATTGGAAGGTTGTTAAACAGAAAGTATGAAGAAGGGTCTTAAATGTCCATCATTGGAAGGTTGTTAAACAGAAAGTATGAAGAAGGGTCTTAAATGTCCATCAACTATTTGAATTGGTACAAAACTATTCTTCATATATTTTTTGGCCCCTAAATACCTCAGACGTAAATCTTTTTAGCTAAAAAATACCCCTATTTCTAACCGCCCGCACTCATAAGGTGGATGTATAGGATAAATTAATATCAAATCTCATAAAGAGCTTTAAGACTCTTTTAAATTACAATAATTTGAAATGACTTAATATGTGAGCTCGTGTGATTAGCCTGGTTTTGCGTAACATAGTAAATTAAAAATAAAATTTTCTAATCATCTAGTATCTATACACTCACCTTCTCCCCCAACTTTCTCTCTCTTCCATTTATTTTTCTTCTTGGATCATGTCCTTTGTTTTAATTTTTTTTTTAATTTAATGATAATTTAAACTACGGCTGCTCATGGTTATAGTTAACAACTAAATCAAACCGCAATTCGAATCAAACCGAATAAAGAAAGATCGATATTTGGCTTAGTTAGTTAGTTTGATTAGGTTTGGTCTTTAAATTTTGTAAAACCGCTACTGTTTGGTTTGGTTTTGGTTTTGGAATTACTAAAAAACAACCGCAAAAATAACCAAATCAAACCGATAAATTAGACATATAAATTTTATAACTTTTTGTATATTATTCATAAATAAAATAAAAATATCTTGTTAAATTTTAATTAGCTTATGTCTTTAACTTTACCTTTTCTCAAGCCTAACACTTTAGACCAAGTATAACAATTTCAAATCCAAATCCATCAAAATCTATTTTAGTCTTTTCTTACCGTCTTCACATAAAATAGTCACACTTTTTCTTAAATGAAACACTTTATTCGTATACTGATAACTCTTATATTGCTTAATTGCTTCACTGAACCGACATTAGTTTTTCTATAGATTGTTTATGTACTTGGTGTTTGTGCCTATCGAGATACGTACATCATCAAAAATTATTACTTTCAAACTGAATAAATCAGAAAAATTGAACCAAACTTAACCAAACCAACAATAACCAAACCGATGGTAATTTTTTTCATTTGGTTTGGTTTGATTTTAGAAATTTAAGAAACCGACTAGATTGGTTTAATTTTGATTTTAATAAATAACCGATCCAAATCAAACCACGAACACCTCTAATTTAAACAAGGGAGAAAGAAGGACCAAAAGAACGAGGTCATTTATTTATAGATAATTAGTTTAATTGAAGAAAATTTAATTAAGCAATTATCTACGCATAGTGTAGGTTTTCTTTTGTGTATATTCAAAATTCAAAATAAATAATGAAAATAACCTCTTTTCCTATCCCCCAACTACCATGAAAATAATACAACTTAAAAGAATATGAACGTGTAATTTCATTTTAAGTTTGAATTGTCGATGCAAAATTAAGAAATGAACAAGACAAATGGATAAATAATAGCAAATATGAGCCAAACGTACATTGAGGAAATTTGTGAGCCAAAAGATTACCTTAGGGATATTTGGAGGCAGAAAGATGGACAAAGGGTCGACATGCTTCTTTCTCTTTTCTTTATTGAACTATATGGAGAACATTTTATATATAGTAGAGACTCAGATTCACCATAACTTATGATTTTGTCAACAGGGGCAAAGAAAAGGCTAGCCCATTTTGGTAGTTTTGATTGGAAAAAATCATTAGGTTTTTCATTGCGCTTTGATCCCTCTTACAAAGGCTATACTTTGTAAAAGTTATGATCCATCCAACAAATGAACTTTTTCAAGAGTAAAATCACGTGGATTAGGGGCGTACATGAGCGGATTGGTTTGAATTTTTTAAATGTCAAACTAAATCATTTGTGTCGGATTTTTAAATTTATAAACCAAATCAAATCAATAAAACTCAGGTTTTTCGACCTCGGATTTTTTGAGTTTTCGGGTTGTTTCGGTAAAGTATTCATACAAACATATAATTTTCTTGTACTACAAATATTTCTTTAGTTCTACAAAAATATAACTATCTAAGTATTTCTTAAAAAAAACACAAAATATGATATGATTAATGACACTAAAATATCCAACAAAAATAATAATAATGAAGTCGCGTAAAATAAATACTAAAAGATCATAATTTAAAAGTACTAAATAATGCTAAATAAGTTTTATAAGTATCAGTTACATGACTAAATATTAAAGAAAATTAAAATTAGAGTATGTATTAATTGTCTATTTTAATTGTCTAGACCAATGTAAAACTAAAGAACAAACATTTAAGATTATTGTCATTATTAGTGTTGAATTGATTTTCTTTTTGCTTTATTATTAATTTGATTTTGATTTAAACTTTATTATAATTACCAACATTTGTGGACTATATTTCAAACTTGAAATAATATATTAAAAGATGAAAAATATAAGAACTATTTAAAAATTATATCAAAGTAAATATTTTATGTATAATATAAAATTTTAAAATTATATATAATGTCGGGTTGGTTTGATCTCGGGTTATTTCTTTTAAAGTTAAAACCAACCCAACCCAAATATAATCGGGTTCTTTTTTCAACATCAAACCAAGTCAAACCAAACACTAGTCGGATTCTTTTTCCAATTTGACTCAATTGGAGTTTTGATTTAATTTCAGGTTCGATTTTGTACGATCCTAATGTGGACTATAAGAAAAATATAGAATCTCGTATATATAGGTCAAGGGCTTAGAATAATATAGATTAAGATGATATCTATTTCCTCCCAATAATGAATTTAAGCTCTAGCCTATTGTCGGGTTCAAGTGAATATATAGCTTTTGTTCAAAAGTTTATATATATATATATTATTTGGAAACTCAATATTATTTAGAATGCCTTAACTATAATTTTGAATCGACGCTATTAATTCGAAATACTTAAGTAGAAGAAAAGTTGAATATATATGAAATGATTAGAAATTAACCTTGGCCAATCTGATGAAGAGTTTTAGGAACTTCAACTTCAAAAGGAGGAGTGGTAATAACATGAGAAATCACCTCCTTCTCTTCTCCCATTTTATTTCTTGCCCAAATATTTGGAGAAATTTAAACAAATTGATGGCGCTAGCTATTTCCTTCAACTGGTGTCCTCTATATAAATTAAAATACAAATAATGGACCTAGCTCCATATATGCATTGCTGCATGTGACAATAGGAAAATAATACAGGCCAATGACTATAAAGACAATGAGGACTACTTTAATAGTAACTTTTATTTCCACTTTTTGTCTCCCACTATTTTACTTGCTTATTGAACTTTTCGAATTATTCATAAATTCAATTGCAATATTGAAAAATATTACAGAAAATTATGTGATGTAGTGGTTTAGCCTCTCTTAATACTCTAATCTGTGGCATTTTTTAAAAGAATAAAAAACATAACGACACTATATATTTTTATAGCAGATATATAAGATACACATATTTATGTATCCAAAAAATTATATATTGGAATATTGATTCCCAGATTTTCCTAAAGAATATGTATATTCTATCTGTTTATTTATAGATTACAATAACTATGTTATGTAAAACAAATAAAGTAATGACACAATAATTTATTGTGGAAAATTTTGGCTCATAAAGGGTAAAAAATTTGATAGACACCTCTGTATGATTTAACTTTATATCATTAAACACTGAGCTTTAAGAGAAAAATACAAACCCAAGTAACCTAAGACATTATAAACTCTAATTGCTAGAAGTCAATAACCAAATAGATCACCGACCCCACTACAAATTATGAATTCAGATTACAACTCTTGAAATCCTAAGGACTAACTCTAATTCCTAAACTCCAATACAAGCCCCCCAGGTTTATGTTCTCAAGTCTTTAAGTCACCCAACTTGAAGATTCTATTCCTACTCCAATTTATACTTCACTGGATCTTGAAAGAATTAAAACTACAATTCTATAAAGATGCAATACAAGCTAACTTGACTTAAAGACTATAAAACATACGAAAAAGGGCCTAAAATACCCTTGAAGTATTGAAAATAGTACAAAATTACACTTCATCCACCTATTTGCTCCAAAATGGCCTTTTCATCTACCTATTGGCTCCAAAATAACCTTCTCATCCACCTTTAGGTTTAAAATTGACCACTTCTTTAACTATTTTGAAATTAAACTCTTTAAATAATTATTTAAAATACTTGACATTCAACTATTGGTTATAATTTAATATATTAATATAATTTATAAACCAAACACACTACCCACTCAATACTAACTAAATCCCACCCAATTAATAATCTAATTATAATATCAAAATTGTCAGAAACACTACTAAAACACAATGAAATTATAGATTCCTGAAAATGACATCCAAAATAATTCGAATTCGAATCGAAGCCCCAATTAAATTTAGGTTGAGCCGCTTATTTAGTAGGATACTTTCAATAGGATTGTTTTTCAAGATTGAATTAGAAATTTATGATT